GGCTCGGCTCGGGCGGCGCTGCGGCCGCGGCCCTTTTTTATTTTTTTTTCCCCTCCACTCTCTCTCTCTCTCTTTTTTTTTCTCCTTCTTTTTTTCCCCCCCTCTCCTTCCTCCTCCTTTTTTTTTATTATTTTTTCCTCATTTTAAATTTTTTTTTAATTTTTTTCCCACCTCCAGCCGCCGCCAGGCCCCGCCCGCCTCACGTGACCTCATTCCTTTGGGGGGCTGCGGAGGAAGGGAGCGAGGGGCCGAGGTTGGGGGGACCCCCCGGACCCCCCGGCCCCGGAGGTCACGGAGACCCCCGGGGGGGGAAACGAGAACTCCCCCAAACCCGCCGGAATGGCACCAAAATGCGGTGTCCGGTGGAAGCTCCGGGCGCGGTGTTCCTCCCGGGGACCCCGTTTTGGCCCCAAATTGTGACCTGGGACAAGCGGGACCCTCTGCGAGACCCTCGGGGGAAGGAAAGGGAAGAGGGAGGGAAAAAAAAAAAAAAGAAATAGAGGGAAATTCAAGAGGGAAAATGGAAAATTGGAGGGCAGGGAAGGAAAAAAAAAGGGGAAAATAGGAAAAAAATAGGGGAAAAATGAAAGAAAGAAAAGGAAAAGGGAAAATGAGAGGGGGAAGAGGGAGGGAAAAAAAGAACGGGAAGAAAAATAGAGGGACATTAGAGAAAAGGAAAAAATGGAAAAGAAGGAGGGAAAAAGAAGGAAAACCGAGGAAAATTAGAAAAATGGGGGATATGAGCAAGAAGGAGGGGAAAGGAAGGTGAAAAAGCCAAGGAAAATAAAAATTAGGGAAAGAAAGGGAGAACGGGAAAATCGGGGGAAAGGAATGAAAAAGGAAGGAAAGAAAAGAAAGAAAAAATGGAGGGAAATTAGAGAAAGATGGAAAACGGGGAGAAGGAAGGAAAGAAAACCAATGGGAAATGAGAGGGGGGAAAAGGCAAAAGGAAGAAAAAAAATGAAAAAAAGAAAGAAAAAAAGAGGGGAGAGCAGGAAGGAGGAAGAGAAAAAAGGCAGGAAAAGAGAAGAAGAGTGGAAAAAAATAAAAAGGAAAAGTCGGGAAGGAAATAAAGGAGGGGGAAAGGGGCAGGAGGAGCAGCGGGAGGCGCTGAGGGAACGCGGCCACCGCACGCCCGGGATTACCGGCGGCCCCGCTCTCCCGGGATTACCGGCGGCCCCCGCCCCGCAGCTGCCGGCGCTCGCAGCCCGGTCCCGTCCCGCTGTCCGTGCCCGGGGGTTCCCGGTGAGCCGCTGTCCGTGCCGCTGTCTCGGTTCCCGGGATGGCGGGGTCGGTGCTGCTGGAGCCGTTGCCGGTGCCGGTGTCCGGTTGCCCCGGTCCCGGTGCTGGTTTCAGTAGGGCCGGTGCCGGTGTCACCTTTCCCCGTGCTTGGGGCCCGTGTCCGGTGTCCCGTTCCCGGTATGCTGTCCCCGTATCCCCTTCCCGGTGTCCCGTTCCCTTTCCCGATATTCCCGGTATTCCCGGTGTCCCTGTGTTCCCGGTATTCCCGGTGTCCCCGTGTTCCCGTGTCCCGCTCCCGCGCCGAGTGCCGTGCGCGCGGGGCGCTGCCAGCGCGGTCTCTGTGGCGCAATCGGTTAGCGCGTTCGGCTGTTAACCGAAAGGTTGGTGGTTCGAGCCCACCCAGGGACGGAGCCGTTTCTTTTGCCCCCGCCGCTCCCGTTCCCTCTTTTCCCGGTGCCAGCCCCCGGGCGCGGCCCGGGATGGACGGAACCGGACACAGCAGCTCCCGGTGTCCCCAAACCGTCCCAGCTCCCACAAGGAGGTTTTGGGACTTTGAAATCGCAGCTGGAGCCCTGTTTCCATCCAAATCCCGTATTTTGCCTCAAAACTAACCTGAAGAGGCTCCCAAGGCTGCCAGACCGAGCTTCCCCCTCTCTGGGAACTCCTGCAAATTCCATTTCTGTGCCCTGAGACGATGGAATTCCCGAAACGCCGGAATTCCCGAAACGCCGGAATTCCCAAAACGCCGGAATTCCTGTTTGACCCCGGCACGAGGCCACGCTGGGATCGGTCCCCGGGATCCTCCCCGGCTCTGCCGGGGCTGTTCCCACCGGGCTCCGGCTCCTGCCAGGAACCTTTTGTGCCGGAAAACCCCCCAGAAATGCACTTCAAAAACGGGATTTAAAATGGGATTTAAAAACGGGATTTAACGGGATTTAAAAACGGGATTTAAACCCGGGATGTGACAGCAGGGCGGGCGCGGGATGAGCCGTGACCCGGAGCGGCCTCGCAGAGCGACCCCAACCCCCCCGGGCCGGCGCTTCCCGAGGAGATTCTGGGGAGAATTCCCTTTGGATGGGCGAGCTCGGGGCTGTGCCCCCGGCCCCGGAGACGCGGCTGCTCTCCTGACGGAGCCAGCTGTGCCCCCGGATCCAGATGAGGCCCCGCTTTTCCAGCCATTCCCACTATTTCCAGCCATTCCCACTATTTCCCACCATTCCCATTTCCCAGCTGCTCCCCCGCCCCTCACTCCCGTCACGCCTCGCGCGCCCACTGTGACTCGTCACTTTCCCGCCCCGCCCACCCCCCCTGCCTCAGCCAATCACCTGCTCGCGCCCCAGCACCTCCCGCCAATCCCCAGCAGCGCTCGGGCTCCAGGCGGCGGCGGCGACCAATGGCGAGCACGGAAGGCGAAACCCCCGGCGGCGGCCATCAATGGGAAGCGTTGGGGGTGAGAGCGGCGGTGGAATTGACCAATGGGAAGCGGTGAGGGCAGGACCGGCGGGGGCGACAGCCAATGGGAAGCGTTGGCGGCGGGAGCGGCGGCGGCGCGGCGGGGCCGGAGCGGGGCCTGAGCAGAGACCGGGCCGGGAGCGAGCGGGGGCGGAGCGGTGACAGGGCAGTGACACAGCGGGGACACAGGAACAGCCGCAGCCATGGTGAGACCGGGACGGCACCTCCGGGCCCGGCACAGCGCGGGGGAGGCGCGGGGCGAGGCCGCTCCGTGAGGGGAGGCCTGTGGGGAGCGGGGCGAGGAGCGGCGGGGATGAGCCCCAGTGCCGGGGGCCCCTCCGGTGTCCGTGAGGGAGGCCCGTGGGGAGCGGCGGGGGTGAACCCCAGCGCGGAGCGGCGGTACCGGGTGCCCGGGCCCTGCGCTGTCCCTGAGCCGCCGCTCCGTGCAGTCCATCATGTCCTACAACGGCGGGGCCGTCATGGCCATGCGGGGCCGCGGCTGCGTGGCCATCGCCGCGGACCGGCGCTTCGGCGTGCAGGCGCAGACCGTGACCACCGACTTCCAGAAGATCTTCCCCATGGGCCAGCGGCTCTACATCGGCCTGGCCGGGCTGGCCACGGACGTGCAGACCGTGTAAGTGACTGGCTGGGGTCGGTGCTGGGGATAATGGGAATTAACGGTGCCGGTGCTGCTGCTGGGAGAGGTTTGGAAATGGAGTGGCCTGGTGTGATTTGGGATCACATCACACATCACACTGCTGCAGTGGGGATTTCACTGCTGCAGTGGGGATTTCACTGCGGGAGTGGAGATTTCGCTGCTGGAGTTGAGATTTCACTGCTAAAATCCAACTTGCACCACTAAAATTGAACTTCTACTGCTAAAATCGACCTTTTACTGCCACAATTCAACTTTCACCCCTGAAACTCAACTTCTCCTCCTAGCATTTCGCCTCGGCTGCAGCAGCAGCTGCGTGTGCAGCCCTCGGTGCTGGTGCCTGGCAGCAGCAGCAGTGGCCAGGCCTGGCTGAGGGCGAGGAGCAGGACCCTGCTGTGCTTTAAGCCCAGCTCTGATCTCTTGCAGGGCCCAGAGGCTGAAGTTTAGGCTGAACCTCTACGAGCTGAAGGAAGGCAGGCAGATCAAGCCCCAGACCTTCATGAGCATGGTGTCCAACCTGCTCTACGAGAGGAGGTAAAACAAACTGCAATGTCTGTGGGCTGAGGGTGTTGGAGTGGCCAGAGGAGCCTGGATCATTTCCTGTTGTCACCGTCCCCTCCCCGAGCAGATTTTTCTTCTCTTGGGGTGACATTTCCTCCCCAAATTGTCTCAAACAGAATCAGTTGTCAAAGCAGAACAAACTCCTGCTGTTTCAGGGTGGTCTGCTGTGCCAAAACCATTGCATGGCTCTCCCTGAAAGGAGCTTTGGGATGGCTTCTGTGCCTGGAAGACATTTCTGAGGGATGTGGGACTGCACTGGGGGCTGGAATGGGACAGCTGTGGGGACAGCTCCAGTCTGTGCTCCGGGGACTGGGACAGGAGCCAGGGAATGGCTGGGCTGGAAATTCAGGGAAGGGAGGGTGAACTCTGGGAATGGTGATCCCAAAGCTGCCAGAGCTGCAGGAGCGTTCAGGCTGGGATTTTGGGGATTGTCCCGTGCCAGGGTGATCCCTGTGGTCCCTGTCCCCAGGGCTGCCCTGAGCCCAGCTGTGTCCCCAGGTTTGGTCCCTACTACACAGAGCCGGTGATCGCGGGGCTGGACCCGCTCAGCCACGAGCCCTTCATCTGCTCCCTGGACCTCATCGGCTGCCCCATGGTCACCGATGACTTCGTGGTCAGCGGCACCTGCTCCGAGCAGATGTACGGGATGTGCGAGTCCCTCTGGGAGCCCGACATGGTCAGTGGGGCTGGGGTCACTGGGGATAGCCTGGGATCTCCTGGGGTCATCTGGGATAGCCTCGGGACACATGGGGTCACCTGGGATAGCCTTGGGTCACCTGGCATCTTTTGGGATCCGTGGATTCAGTTCTCCCTGCCATGCTCGCTGGAGATGCTGAGCTGGGGAGAGGCTTCATTCCAGCTGTGCCTTCCGCAGCCTGAGAAGGGAAGCTTGCAGGGTTCTGGGGGATTGGGGTGAAGTTTTTTAGGGGATCTGCAGCCCAGGTGAAACCCTGTGCTGCCTCTGTGCCCCAGGAGCCCGAGCACCTCTTTGAGACCATCTCGCAGGCCATGCTCAACGCCGTGGACAGAGACGCCATCTCGGGGATGGGCGTGGTGGTGCACGTCATGTGAGTGCTGGGGGGCCTGGGGAGCCCAGGGGCTGGCACTGCCTTCCCTTCCCTCAGGGATCCTGGGGAGCCCAGGGGCTGGCACTGCCTTCCCTTCCTTCCCCCAGGGCTCCCCCAATCCAGGGGCTGGCACTGCTGGAACCAAGAAATGACTCCTGGAGTTTGAGTCCCTCTGCTCAGGGATTCCCTGGCTGCATTCCTGTGGAATTGAGGAGCTCTGCCCCCCCATGGATGCAGCATTAACTCCCATCTCTGTCACCAGCTGCCTTTTGATAAACCCCATTTTGCTGCTGCAGCACCCCAAACCTGGCAGCTCCCCACAATGAAGGGTTTATTTATTGTCACAACCACCCGAGCTCCTACCCATGGACCTGGGACAAGCTCTAGGAAGGGTTTAAACCTGGCTTTAGCAGTACGTAATCTCTCCTTTTTCCCTCTCCAGAGAGAAAGACAAGATCACCACCAGGACCCTGAAGGCTCGGATGGATTAGCCCAGCCCAGCTGCTTTGTGCCCCTCGGGACTTTTTAAAATAAAACTCTGCCCTGAACTTCCCTTTTGGTGCCTCTGAGCAGGGTGAGGGTGTCACCCTGGCTGCCAGGACACAGCGGTGACCCCAGGTGTGTCACCTTCCATCCACCCCATCCCTCCAGCACCTCCCAAATTGGGAGCTTTCCAGCTTTTCCTGCCAGGTCTGGTTGTTCTGGCAGCCAGCACTGGGTAAAATTGTTAAAATCTCATTTAAAGAGGCTTCTGCTGGTGTGGTTTGTGCAATCATGGAGTGGTTTGGGTGGGAAGGGACCTCAAAGCCCATCCAGTGACAGGGACACCTTGACTGTCCCAGGGTGCTCCAGCCTGGCCTGGGGCATTCCGCGGATGGATCAGCCACAGCTGCTCTGGGAATTCCATCCCAGCCCCTCCCAGGGGGCATTCCTTCCCAAAATCCCATTTAAACCCTGCCCCTTGCCCAGTTTTCCCCCATCCTGTCCCTACCAGGACTCCCCACACTGGAGGAGCAGCTGAGGGTGACCCCTCAAGGAGCACAGCAGGGAGGACCCAGATGTACACAAAGTTTTAATTTTATTTCTTTTTTTTTTCTCTGGTTGGAGACTCATCTTGTAACATGCATGCATTTCAAAACAGTAACAGTGTCTCAAACTGCTCCTAGCAAACAGACAAGCACAGAGGACTTCAATTTCCTATTTAAAAAACAGCAGTGAAAAAACCTAGAATGTTAATTTTTTTAAAATTTTTAAATTTTTTTAAAGTTTTTTTTTAGTTTTCTTTTTGTTTGTTTAGTTTTTAGATTAAACTTAATTTATTCACATTTTTTCTTTTCAATTCAGTTGCACTGATTAGCCCTGCCCACCCTCGTGACCTGTGTGTGGAACCTGCTCCCTCCACTCCCGTCCAGCTGCTTGGGCAGCCCCAGAGCAGCAGAAATTTTGAGTGGTTTCCACTAAAAATGATGTGTCCAGAGCTCTGTCATCCCAGTTATCCATGGGATCCATCCCACAGAGCCAGGACAACGGGCAGGAGCTGCGGGGGACACTGGGAGTGGCTCTGCAGGAAGGGGACATTTGGGAATTTGGGGCTGTGGCCACACTGGGGACACCCCCCTGGTTTTGGGGGAAAATCCTTCAGCTGGGGGTGAAATTCCAGGTGCAGCTGGAAGGGAGGCCTGGGAAAGGACTGCATAGTAGTCATGGATTGGGAATATCCACCACCACAACCTCCTCACCACCTGAGCCTGCCTGGGCTGGGAAAGCAGGGATTTCCTCCCAAAAAAAAAAACAAAAAACCCCAAAAAAAAAAAAAAAAAGGAAATAAGACTCAAAATGGTTCTGGATTTCCTTGATGATTGTGCTGATCCAGATTCCAAGCTGGGATTGTAGGAGTGTGGCCTCCCCCTGCTGCCCCACGGGGTGAATTCCGTCTCCAATGGGGTCAATCTTATCCCTACAGGATGAATTCTGTCCCCTGGGGTGAATTCCATCCCCACAGAAGGCACTCTATCCCCACGGGGTGAATTCCCAATTAATTCCAAGACTGTGGCTCAGGATGGAGCCCAGGCCAGGCAGGGGTGAGGAGGGACTGAGGGAAGGCTCCCTGAGCTCCTGGGGCTGTCCCCAAATCTCAGTCCCAATCCCAGTCCCCACCCCAGCTTGGGGAGCCCCTGGAAGCCCCAGTTCCCCCCCAGCAGCTCTGCAGTGTTTATTGCACTCCTGGAGCAGAGCTGGCTCTGCCTCCCCTCTCCCACTCTGATTTTGGGGCTGTCCCAACAGGGAAGGTGGGAATTCCCAGCTCAAAGCAGATTTTGGGGTTTTTAAATCCCTCAGGAACTCGGATCCTGCAGCTCCTCCTACCTCAGGCACTGCAGAGGGGAGATGCTGCTCACTGATTATTTGGAGCTCCACTGGACCAAATTTTGCTTTTTTTTGGCCAAAAGAAAATTCTGAATTCTGCTGCAAATCCTGGCAGTTTAATGTGTTCTGCAAGGTTCATGCTAAGGACAGGAATATCTACATTCAGCAAAAACTAGAACTAAATCCACACCAGAAACAGACAACGAACTAGCACAAGCAGTTGTAAAACCAGAATTGAAAGGGCTGGGTTTCCTTTTTTTTTTTTTTTAAATACTTGAGTTAAAAAAGTGACCTAAAACAAGATTTAAAAGAAAAAATAGCCAACAAAACAAAGCAAAACAAAAAGAAAAGAAAGCAAACACAAAGAAAAAGTCCCTTTTAAAAACAAATCAAAATATTTGCAGCTTCATTTCTTGTTCTGGTAACAAAAAATACTGTCTAGAAACAAAAATTAGCATTTTTAAGGTAATACTACTTCTCCAAATGTAAACAATATACAAAAATGCTTCTGTTAAACAAAGTTACATACCTGGGTAATACATCATTAGGTGAGAAAATTGCATTTAATCACTTTAGTACACAATATGGCAACTGGACAGAAGGGGCAGAATCTTTGGGGGACCCCCCCAGATCACCTGGAACAGCCAAATTTAATCCCAGCAGGAGTTTGGAATAAGAAAATATTCCCTGCTCTCAATTTTTGTCAGAACTCTGTAAGGATTTCTGCAGGAATTCCCTGGGTTTTGACTGGATTCCTTATTCATTATTCCGGAATTCAATAAAGGACATTTTTTTCTGCCATCTTCACTCTCCTTTCTCTAGGTTTGCCCTGTGGCGTTCATCCACCTCCTGCTCTCTTCCTCCCCCCTTTTTCTCCTTTCTATTTATTTATGTTTTTGTTTTTTTTGTTTTAATAAATGATTTCAAGATAAAACAATTTCCAAGCTACTTTCCCCAAAAGGAGAAGGGCAAACTTACCAGGTCAAAGTTGCAGATTCAAAGCAGATTTTTTTTTTAACTGTCAGGAATAAAAAGTGATTGGTGTTTAATTCCTAATTAGCAGTAAACTTAAGTGCTTATTAAGAGAGAAGCAACCAATATAATGCCCACAAAATGAAGATGATGATGCCCTCTAAGTCCTCCCTTTGTTTTCTTTTTCAAAATATTTTTTAGCTGCATTTGGGTAGTGGCTTTTCCAGCTCTACACCTTAAAACCCCTCCAGCCTCCCACACCAAAAGGGCAGCAGAAATTTGTGCCACGTCAAAGGGAAGGACCAAAAATCTTCAAATCCCATCAGGACCCCTAATTTTTCATTTCTCCAAAATTCTATTTACAGTGCAGCCTCATGGGCTTCAGTTTCAGCCCCTGCCAAGGTGAGACCCATGGGGGGATTCACATCAGGAAGGGGAAATGGGGAGGGGGTGAAGAGGAAATGAAACCAAAAAATCCCCCAAACCCCACATTCAGAATCCAGCCTAGAGGCAGGGTTAATTCAGGGAAATTACCAGAGTGTGATGAGCACCAGTTATGTCTCAAAAAGGACCAAAATTCCACACAGCAAGAACTGTTACAGCACAGGACAGACAATCCCAACAGCTTATTCCCCAAACAAAGGCATATGTGAAAAACAGTTCCAAGGCAGATTAAGCAACATGTTTCAACTGCAAAGAGGTTTGTTCAAAACTCTAAATCCTGCTTAAAAAGAGAAAGGAAATTAAAATTAAAAAAAAACAAACAACAACTCCCAAAATAAAGAACCAAAACCAAAAGTTCTGTTGTGCAGCAGAGCTAATGAAACCCACAGCGAGGCTGCCGAGCTTGGCTGTGAAAGGGTTAAAGGAGACAAAACAGGACGATTTCAGTCACTCCAATCAGTCCCCAAATCCTTCGGGGGGGGGCTGGAAAAGAAATCTGGTGTGAGAGTTCAACCATTTCCACTCCTGGAGGGTCGCTCAGGGGGTTTGGAACAGGATGAGCCCAGCTCCCAGCACTCGCCCTGGCAGCCAGACCAATTCCTTCTGTGCAAGTCACATTTTTAAAAAATAAAACACAAAAAATCCAACCCAGCAACCTCTGTCAGGACACAGATTCAAGTACCTGTTGCAGGTACTTGAATACCTTGAATACCAACAGGTACTTGCAAGGGGTGGGGAAGGAAGACTGAATAATTAATTAGCTAATTAACACTGGCAGGATTGTGATGGTGACCTCTGAGCCCTTCCTGGCTGAGGAAGTGGCCCAAAATCTTAGCCTGGATCTACAGGTATAAAAATGCCTTTTTAAATTTTTTTTTTTTCTTCTTTAAGGAAATCTTCAGAGCTGGCCAATTAAAATCACCCCAGGTCCAAGCACAGAATGAGCTGAGGTTGGTCAATGCCTCTCTCATTTCTCTGCTTGTTTTTAGCTTTTAGGAGTTACACCTTTTTATTTTTTCAGACATCATCTTTGGTAGATGTTAATTTCCCTCATCTTTCTTGTAAATCAAGTGCAGTTACAAAAAAGTGGTTTGTTTTTTTTTCCTTTTTTCTTTGTTACTTTAATTAACCTAAAAAATATAGTGTCCCAGTCTGAATTTACCTAAAGTTCAGTGACTCCTCCTTTTTGTCAGTTATATTTTCCATCCTTGAAATGGTGAGCTACTTTCCTTCCAATTCCTACCGAGAGGGAAATAAAAGGGTTTGTTTTTTTTTCTTTTTCTGGCAAAGCCAGTCCAATAAAACAACAACAACAACAACACAAAAAACAAGGAGTGGTTTGTGAGTCAGGCACTGCTGAACTTGACCCCTTGGGGACAGTGCCACATGTGTCCCAGCCCCTCAGCAGAGAGGAGAAAACGTCACTGGGCAGAAAGAGCAGTAGCAGTGCTGGAACAATGCACTTGGCTTGTTTGGAAAAGCCCTCAAATCTGAGATCGGGGCACTTCTGGAACACCAAACCCAGAGGTGCAGCGGGTGCGGCACGGATGAGGATGGGTTTTGTCACATGGTGCCACACGTGCCCCACACGTGCCACAGGTGTGCCTCGGTGCTGCTGCAGTGTCTGTGCTGTCCCAGGTTGCAGGAGCCCCCAGGCTGCAGGAGCCCCCAGGCCTGCAGCAGGATGTGACCCTATGTCAGGATGCTGGAGATGAACTCGTTGAAGCGCTTCGAGTACTGCTCGGGGTTCACCGTGGAGATCTCAGCCCCGGCCTGCGGAGAGACAGCGGGTCAGGGGGCACAGGGGGCAAGGAGGGTCATCCAGGAGGGGCCAGTGTGGGCAGGGTGCTCAGGGAGGGGTCCGTGTGGGCAGGGTGGGCAAGGAAAGGGCAGGGAGGGGTCAGTGTGGGCAGGGAGAGGTCAAGGTGGGGTCAGGGTGGTCAAGGAGGGGTCAGGGCAGTCAGGGAGGGGTCAAGGTAGGCAAGGAGTGGTGAGGGAGGGGTTAGCATGGGCAGGGAGGGGTCAGGGAAGGGTCAGTGTGGTCCAGGAGGGGTCAGGGTGGGCAGGGAGGGATCAGGGAAGGGTCAGGCTGGTCAAGGAGGAGTCAGGGGGGTCAGGAAGGGCAGGGAGGGGACAGGGGCACAGCTCCTCTGCTGGGGAGGATCCATGGCCACCCTTCATCCAATCCATCCCTCCAGCACCTCCCAAACTGGGATGGAAATACAAATGATCCCAACCAACCACAGGGAAAACCTAACCCTGAGGAGACACAGAGGGCAGTGCTGAGCACGGGGGCCGGAGAATTCCCATCCTGGCAGGAAAATCAGTGTCAGGGGACACCTTCCCCCCCAGGAGATGCTGCAGAGCAGAAGCCCCAGACCCAAGAGCCCCCACTGGGCCAGGCTCACCCCGTGTTTCACTGTCTTGGCAGCGTGTGCAGCTTTCTTCTTGGTGTCATAGGGCGTGAGGATGTCAATGATGGCCATGAAATAAACCTCCTTCCTGGGGGCACCTGGGCGCACAGCAGGGGCTCAGTCCCCCTAGGCACAGCCAACTGCACCCCCACCTCCAAAAACACCCCCTGGGCACCCCCAGCTTCATCCCCACCTCCAAAAACACCCCCTGGGCACCCCCAGCTGCACCCCCACCTCCAGAAACACTGGGAAGAGCTGGTTTGGGGCAATTCACAGAGAAAGCAAAGGCAGCTGGAGGCTGCACAAGGGCAAAGATGCCTGGAGCAGCCCACCAGAGGCTCTCTCCTCATGCCACCCCTCTCCCAGCATCACTTGTCCCCTTTTAGCCACCACCAGGGACTGCCCGGCAAAGCAGGGACAGCCCTCCTGCTAGGCTGGGCTTTTCCCAAGCCCTGCTGGGAAGCTCAGGGTGGCTGCCAGGACAGAGGAATGACCTCAGGGGTGCCACCCTGGCTGCCAGAACTGACCCACCCTACTGAGCCTGGGACACCTCCCCTTTCCCTGCCCTCCATCCTTCCGCCCCAGTTCCCTCACACCCTCCCTGCCCTCCACAGCTCCCTCACAGCCCCCCTCAGACCCTCCCTGCCCTCCCCAGCTCCCCACACTCACTCTCGTGGCTCTTCATGGCGTACACATCCACGGAGGGGTCGAACTCCCCGGGCCCAAAGAACCGGGGGTAGTTGAGGAGGTTGCCAGGGCTGTCGGGGGGGGTCCCATAGGAGGAGATGGGGTTCCCCCCCACCAGCCCATCGTTCTCGCACTCCTCATCCTCTGCCCTCTCCTCCACTTCCATCTCCTCCTGCTCAGCCCTGTCCACGTCGTGGATGCCCACCAGCAGGCTGTAATCCATGATCTTCAGCTGGGCTAAAAACTGGGAGAGAGGCAGCAGTGAGAGCTGGCACCCTCAGAGCGTGGGGAAGGCTCAGCCCTTCCTGCAGTGCCTCCCTAAGGGCTGGCATTGACACACTCTGATCTTAAAGATTCCCACAATCCTGAACATGTGCAATGTATTATGGAGATTTGTCCACCAAAGGGTGGTTTCTTAATTAGCCAGTGCTGATGGTTTGGACTGGAGGAGCAATTAGGTCTACCTGTATTGTAACTGTCTATAAAAGCAATGGGTTTCTTAATAATAATATAATATAGTATAATATAATAAAGAAATTGATTAGCCTTCTGTGAATCATGGAGTCAATGCTAATTATTACCCGACTGGTGTAGGAATGTGCCCCCTGTTGATGGAGTGGCCAAATCATTTGTTTGCTTAAAAACAAAAAAATACCAGAAGTTTCTCTCCTCAATTTAGTAAAAAGACACCTTATAAGACCTTTGAGACTTCACCTCAAACCTAGGGCTACCAATCAGACAAAAGCCAAAAAGTCCCACCTAAGTAATTCACCAGAAAAAGAAGATAACAACGGAAATAATTGTTTTTGTAGAGTGTTTAGCAAGAGTAAGAACCTCCTGCCCCTACCTCAGTTTTTCTCTGAAAGAACTTGTGATTTTGCCTTTTATTAAAATTTTTTCTGTTTCCAACAGTACCTCAAAAGCCATCCTGCTAATTTAACACCATTCCAAGTAGCAGAGCTATCTCAAGTGTGACAGGTTCTCTAAGAGCTCGAGGAAAAACCCATCAGGCCAGGGGCCTGCTACTGTGACAGTGAGGGGAGATAGAGCAGAGCTGTACCCCAGGAAATTACCTCCACATCCCGCTTCAGCTTCTCAAGGAAGTTCTTTTTACTCTCTTCTCCAACATGCAGCTTCTGACCCTCATTCAAGAAGTCATTGTCCTTGAACGTTGGGAGATCCTTGGCCTGCAACAAAAAGCCTGAGGTGAAATTCCCCAGCCTGCTGCCAGGGGAGGGCTGGCACATGGGTGTGAGTGCAACAGCCCCTGCTCAGTCTGGGCTTCTGGGGTGCCCAAAGTCCACTGAGGATGGAAAGGGCATCAGGCAGAGCACAGGAAGTGTCAGGGAATCCGTGGGCTCAGCTGGACCTACAGGAAAACTCAAGGGAGACGTGGAGCAAGTCAGCTTTAAAAACTGCGCAGCTGGGCCAGGGATGCTCCAAGCAGCTCCCAGAATTGAAATGAAATTAATGAAAGAAATTAATTTTCTTGACCTTTGACTGCAGGGGAAAAGGGGTGAAGGCTTGGAGAAGAAAAAAAAACCAAAACAAAACGCCAAACCTTCTCTTCCTAAAGGTTTGAGGAAAGAAGAAAGAATTCAAGTCATGTTTTTTTGAGGGCTGTGCCTGCAGCAGGCCCTGAGGACTGTGGGGATGTGGGAGAACTCAGAGCCCCTTTGTACCTCAGGGTTTCAATTCTTAATGACACAGGAGCGTGGGGTGGCTTTGTGAGCTCACATGAACCCAGCTGCACAAGCCAGGGAGTTGGGGGCACTTGGGAGGGTGCCAGAGGATTCAGGGCAAATGGGAGTTCCCTGGCTGCTGGCTGGGATCTTTTAGGGCAGGCTGGAGCAGACTCCAACCCTGAAAATCCTACGTGCCAAACATGGACCAGCACGAGGTTTGCTGGGATTTCCATAGGGATTTCAAGGCAGCAGCACAGAAGTCCTGCAGGGCAAGGAGGCTCAGTCCTCAATCCCCCCACTCAAGCCAGGCTTAGCAATGTGCCAAGGATCTGGTTTATAAATCTTCTGGTGAAAGATCTACCCCTGACCTGCCTGGGGTTGGCACCCGGGGTGCTGTGAGGAAACCCTTCCATAGGGACAGCACTGCCCTCAGGTGGGGCTTGGTTCTGCTGGAACTGTCCCCCACTCCTGGCAGTGCCACCACAGGGCAGGGCAGGCAGAGACAGCTCCCTCCCAGCCTGAAAAGGGGGACAGGGTGAACTGAGGGCTTGGGGAACCTCCCCTGCCCAAAACCCCCATGAAAAAGGGAATGGAAAGGAAAAGGGAACTCAGTTGGATCTGTCTGCTTCCAAGCACCAGGAGAAAGGAAAGGCTGGCCAGGGATGGCTCCATACCTTCTCTTTATCACTTGCTTCCCTGGATACTGTTGAGCCCTAATAAATTAAAAAAAAAAAAAAAAAAGAAAATATCATTACTGCTCTCTGGGTCACATTCCAAATGAATTAATTGACACCATTTAATTTCTTCATGCAGGAAAACAATGAAAGCATTTTTAAGATCAGTGCTCAACCCCCTTTTGGTGATCTCCTGCGATGGGGGAATGGACCAACACTGAACCTCCATGCACAGCCTCCCAAAACCTGATCCCCTGAGCAGACCCCAAAGCCCAGGACCCTGCCAAGGGGGTTCCAGGCCCAACCCCCAGAGTTCTGATGCCTCAGGTTTTAGTTTTTATATTTTTCAGCTTCTGTGCTGCTTTAGTGTGTGGGTCTGGGCTCCATATTATGGGATGGTGAGCTCTCCGCACAGAGCAAGGAGACAAAACAATTCCTGCTCTAGCTGGGGACCAAGGACAAATGATCCAAATCTCAGGCCCAAGAGCACAAACAATGAAGAGAGAGAATCAAGAAGGATGGGACTGCATAATCTAAAGCTGGAATTGGACAATTAACTCCAATATGCAAATGGAGCAGAAGTTATTAAAGTGAGAGACCCCGTAAGTGGTCAACATTTTGCCACCATTTTGGTTCATTTTGTACCATTTTGGTTCACCTGGGATGCAGCCCTGGCTGGGTTCTTGTGCTGCCCAAGGTGGATCCATTGAGGAGATCCTTTGAATAAATCCCTGCTTTATTCTGTGATTCTGCCTGGCCTCTGCTCTAGGTCAGGCTTGAGAAGGCCTCACCTTCAGGTCGTACTTCCTGTGCACGGTCAGCCTGTGGCTGAAGACGTTCCTGGTGACCACCATATAGGTCTCCACCCCGTCCACGGTGAGCCGGTACATGCCCAGGAACTGGGGCAGCAGTGTGTTCCCGTGGCACTCCACGATGAACTGCAGGGAGGGACAACTGTGTCACACAAAGCCCAGCTCTGACAGCACATAAACTCGGTTAGGTGCTGCAGCCAAGGCACACATGGGAAAGGAAAGGAGGGTTGGAACAGCTCCTGGGGTCTCCAGGAAAGGAGTGAGGATGGGGAAGAGTCCCATTCCCTGAGCAAGCTGGCCCAAGTAGTGCCATCCTGCCCAGCACAGGGAGCTGGGACATCTCCAAGGTTCTTCCCAGTCCTGGGATTTTGTGACCCTGTGTGTAGAGCTGGGAGATCTCCAGGGTTCCTCCCAATCCTGGGATCCTGTGACCCTGTGTCTGTCCAGCCTGCTGTGACAGGCCAGGTGTCACTGGCACTGCCCAGCTTCACTTCTTGTGGTTATCTCGCTGTGCCTGGAACTCAGGGCCTGTTAAACATCCCCTTCAGAGCAGATAGGCTGGAACCAGCACGTGGACCAGGACATTTCCAGCTGTCCCACTGTGACTCCACTTCCTAACTCCCCTCCGGCCCCTCTGGAAGGTCTGAGGCAATGAATGAGGACCCTGTTTGCAGCTCTGATCTACCAGGGATCCGTAATTTATTCATACAAGGGCCAGGATGAGCTGGGAAGGGGCTCAGCACTACAAACAGCTGCTGGGTTGTCCCTCAGACATTTGTCCCTCAGATATTTGTCCCTCAGATTTCCATCCCTCAGGATTTTCATCTCTCAGACCCTAAGGACCCTTTTTCCCCACAAAACCTCCGTGCAAGCTCTGCCAGCTGTGAATCCAAGCTCCAGACCCCCAGCAGATCCCCAGGTGTGCACGGGGGGGCTCCAGACTCACCGTACCTGGTGGTACTTCTTGAGGATGTTGTGCATCTCTGCCACGTCCTCGCTGGACACGGCCTTGATGACGAACCTCCTGTCGTAGGTGGTGAGGAAACGCGCGCCGCAGCGGCCCTGGCTGTCGCTGTTCACCGGGGCGCTGCGTGTCACCGAGTTCTGGGGGACAGACACGGCGTGGGGACGGTGCCAGGAGCTGGCACCTCCCTCAGCAGCAGGGCCGGCCCCACAGGAGCCCCCTGAGCAGCCCTAGAAGCAGGGCTGGCCTCACAGGAACCCCCTGAGCAGCCCTAAAAGCAGGGCCAGCCCCACAGGTCCAGCTCAGGGCACCCACTCTGGCTGTGAACTCTGGGTTTGGGGCTGCTGAGGGTAAAACCCAATCGTTTAAAAGTCTGGATGTGTTTTTAGGGCTTCCAGCTGGCCCTGTGATTTGCTGGCAGGTTTTACTCCAACACCTGGGGTGTGTTTTTGGAAGGTGTTTTTTACTGAAGAGTTTTTAGAGGTGTAGGATACACAGGCCAAGAGCTCTCAGCATTTCCTCTCAGGGATTTAAGAACAGTCAGGATATTCCTAAGGCTTAAGGAAAACCAGACCAAAACAACCAGACCAAAACAACTGAATGGCCTGTTGGCTTTTCCCTCAAAAAGCAGCTTAGTCTGGCCAAAATCTCAGTGTTTGGGGATTCTTCACAGGTCATCCTGCACCAAAAGCCACCCTCAGGCTCTGCTATTCTTACTCCTGGACGTACAAGATGAGTATAAATAGCTTGGTTGTTCTTCTGGCAACCAGCAGCATCTGCCTTTAGATCCCTGTCTCCACCCTTAGCAACCAGACAGTGCAGCAGGGCTGGAAAATCCCAGGAAAACTGCAGAGCAGGACCAATTCCCTGAGCCACAACACCAGCTCTTTGTTCTCCTGCCCCTCCCGAGGCAGCAGGGCCTGCTGCGAGCTCCTCCTTCAGCCCCAGCCACTGCTGCTGTCACCTGTCCCCTCCACCTGCCCACAAGCCATTCTGTCAACCAACAACCTCTCACCAGTATTTCCTTATCACAGATAGGGAGGGCTTTGAAACACAGCAGCAGCAACAGTGATCCTTAAGTTTTCCAGCATTTCTGGGCTGGATATTGGGTTTCAGGCTGTATTATTCGGTTTTTTTTAGGTGACAGTGGCACTGCTGTGTCCCCCTTACTCAGCTCTGGCAGCAGAGGGAGCCTGCAGCAGAACCTGCTCTGAGAGAGAGATTTACCATGTCATGCTGCAAGTGTGCCCAGAGGTTTCCTTTCAGAATGAAGCATTTAAAGCTTTTAAAACTTTAATGAAGCAGGGGAAAAACTCTGCTGCTGCCAACGGCTTTAGAGAGCGTCAGGAAAATAAAGGCAAGCAGAAAAATCCCCTTTGCTGCTCGCTGACATTTGCAAAGGGGTCTGTGCCAGGCAGTTTAAAGCCCTCACCTCAAAACCACAGAGCTTTTCTTCTGGAGCTGGGAAGCAGAAATCGTGACCACACAGAGCATTACCAAGCTCCCAGCCCTCGGCTCCCTTTCTGTCACTCCCACCTCTCCCACAGTTGGGGTGTTAAATTCAGCCTCTTGGCTCCATTCCCACTCGAGCCATCACAGTTTACCCACCTGAATTTAGCTCAATTAATGTTTTCTGTTCCAGATGAGCACTTAAAAAAAAAAACAAACCAAAGCTCTTTTAAAGCTCTGAGAAGGGGGAAGCAATCCCTCAGAACAACAGGGGGAGTGTAAATGGTGAACTACACAGAGTATGGGTCACACCTGGGGAGGGTGTCATCACAAAGAGGTGTGACATGGGCATGGAGGAGGCAGCGTGGGACCAGCTGCTCTCCCCACCAGGCAGGGAGCACGTGGAGGGAGCAGGGAGGCTGCAGCACTCCCCCATGTGCCTCTGCAGTCAGTGTTCCAGGGGATCCCCTGGCACTGTGCCCACTCTGTCACCACGTGCTGGGGACACTCCAGCTCCCTGACACCCAGCCTGCCTGGGGCCACGTGGCCACCACGGTCCCCCTGGCCCTGCTCTGGGTGATCTCCCAGCCCTGAGCTGCCTCTGCTCAGCTCCTCGTGCCCAGGGCTCGGAGCTGGCTGAGGAAGGGTGGCCCTGCTGCAGCAGCCAGAGCTCTGACATCTCCCTGTCCCCAGTGCTGAGCCCAGCAGTGTTAACACCAGACTCCTCTCCAAGAAAATCAGTCCCTCTGGCATTAGGGGATGGATCCCAAAGCAGGAGCCACCTTGACACACCCAATTCAACAACACACTTGGCTGAAAGCAGCAGATTCACCTGAATCTGTACAAACACCACGGACTCGTTTTCCTCGCAGATATTCCATGCTGGATCATTGTTATCCTCCAGCTCCTGCCTGTCCACAGCCACCTGTGCCCCAGTTTCATGCCTGGGGAGCAGGGATCACCTTCCCCTCCTACTGCCCTGTGTTTGGCACAGCAAGATCCATTGCACCGCTGAGGTTATGGTGGAACCACTCAAACGCCAATTATAAACCCAGAAAAGCTGCTGGCTGCAGTTTGCAGCATGGTTTCTCTGCCAGGGTGGCTGCTCTGTCCTAGAAGAGAAGAGAGGGTACCTGGTAGTCCTGGTCATCGATCCCAAACCTCTCCCGGAGGTTGCGGAACACCAGGGGACAATACTCCTTGAATTTGAAGCGGCTTGGCAGGTTCTCCCTAGGGCAGGGCAGAGATGTCAGCAGTGCCACCCAATGCCACACTGGCTCCCCCTCCCTGCCAGCCCCCCAGGACATCCCAGCCCTGCCGTGCCCTCGGCAGAGCAGCTCCTTCCTTTGGATGCCCACAAAACCCATCCCTCCCAGGGAACTCTGCAGGGTCCTGGCTAACAGGGATGGGAGTGTGCAGCTTGTGTGGCTGCCACAGGGAGCCATCCTGCCTGTGCCCTCCTTGGTGGTTTTGTCACACTGGCACACGGCTGTCCCCGCACACGCTGTCACACAGCTGTCACTGCACATAGCTGTCACACGCTGTCCCTACACACACTGTCACATGCTGTCCCTGCACACCAGGCAGAGCTGCAGGAGCAGAGGGGCTGGGCTCTGGGTTCAGCTCCCATCACAGCACGAGAAGGGTCAAGGCCCCACAGACCAGCTCAGCTACAGTACCCAGGAGAGGAGGAATCAGCTCCAGCCTGGCTCTGCTGCCCCCAGGCACAGGACAGGGGACAATGACAACACTCCCTGTCACTGAGGGAGCTGCATCTGCTCCTCCCACAGCCCTGATCCTGCCCAGGGGGAGGAGCAGAGTTTGGTCCTGCCTGGACATAGTGGGTGAATTTGGCAGCTCCTTCTCAATGAGAAACCCTCGCAGTGACACATGGGGAGCTCAGATCTTCTCTGGAGAAGGGGGAGAGCAGATCCTGTACATTGGACGTGCCAGGAGAGACAAACTTCCCAATCACCTCCCACTCTGCAAAGCTGATCCCTGTGAAACTTGGGGAAAACAAAGGATTAATCAGGGAGCACTGCAGCCCTGCAGAGCTGGGATGGAGAATGCAGCTCTGAGCACCAGCCACAACCACGACTTCAAAACAGCTTCCAAAAATGGATTTTTTGGGAAAAGGAGACAGGAGTAATTCCAGAGGACTCCATGAGCACAGCACAGCTGCAGAGCTACCTCCTGTGAACAGTTTAATCCCTCAAAGGATGGCAACCAACCACCACAGCATATCTCACTGCAGACTGACCACACCATGGCCTGTCCAGGGTCTGGGCAGGGCACAGGGTATGGATCCTCCTGGCACTACTGCTGGGAACAACCCAGAAGGCCTCCCCCAGGCCAGCTGGCCTCACAGCATAGAGCTCTGACCACAGAGAGATTAGGAAGCTCCTACTTACTTGTTGAATAGATGATTGTCCACCTTAATCTTACTGTAGGCTTTAAAGTCATCGGGCATTAACATGACAGGGACGGGAACGTTGCTGAGCTCATTGATCTGCAAGAGAGAGGAAAGGGAGACTCAAAGCCCAGGCCCCACTGCCCTGTGGACCTGCAGGGATGCCCAACACCCCAGGGGATGGTTTGGGGCACCGTGACCCATCAGACAGAAGCAGCTGGGGAACACTGTGGTGACAGGCCACGATGTGAATCCTCCTGAGACAACTTTCCCATTCCACTGACCATCCAAGACACAGCTGAGAACCCAGACAAACCACAGGCCAAGAACCATCAGATTTTATGTTTTAACTACCTCCCTGAGAAAATGTTCCAATGTTGATCATTCCTGCTACAAACCAGGATGACCAAAGCCTTTGGTGCAGCCCAGCACAGCTCCCTGTGGATGCTGTTTCCATGCTGGCTGTCTCCTGTTGCTCCCATCCCACCTTCTCTGGAGGGATGAGTCACTCACTAGATTGTTTTTGTTCCTTAGTCATGAGTGGCAGCCACAGGAACATGGGGAAGCAGAAGAATGAATGTTCAGCTACTATTGTACAGGCGGGCTCGTGCTGCAGCATCCAGCAGTGCCAGCATTAATAATAACATAATAATAAATAATTCACCTCTGGACTGTGTCTGGCTGCCCTGCTCTAGTCACTGCAGTCACTGACAAGGCTGTGCCAGAATCAAGAGGTTTCTGAGATGCCTTTTCTGAAGACAGCCCCAGTGCCATCCCTCCCAGGGACTCACCACAGCCCCATCTCACTGAACTCCTGCTAACAGCCTGGATTCAGGAAGAAATTCCATCCCAGCTCTGTTCCCATGACTGCTGTGCCAAGCAGGTAGTGCAGGAGAGGGAGGCTGACAACGCTGGCACCAGCACGGTTTGGCTCCCAGTCAGCTCTGGGGACTGTTCCCAGCACCAAAACCTCTGGCAGGTCAAGTGACTCCCAGCACACAGGGAAAGCTGCTGGAAAACTTCCCTGCTGGCTGGGAGCAGGGGCCAGGCTCGGGAAAGGGATCCAGCTCTGGGATTCCCCATTCCCTGCATGCAGCAGGACACACAGCACTGCCCAAAGTGCTGCCACATCCCTGCTGGGCTCTGCAGGGTTCAGTCCTAGGGATGTGCCGTGAGCCAATTCCATGAAGCCGTGTTTATCTCACCCTTTCTCCATCGTTACCATGAAAATCCAGACCAGATTTAATACACGTCAGACTGGGAAGAAAGACGCATCCCAGTGCCAGGAGGGAAGGTGGCTATTTTCAGAGCCAGCCATCCCACACAACAGACAGAAGCGGGAAGCGAAGCGGCCACGTCTCCTGGAGGGAGCGGAGCTGGAGCTCTGCAAAGCCCTGCTCTGCAAAGCCCTGCCCTGCAGCAGGGGGCTTAAGTTTTAGCTTTTATATTTTGCCTTAAGTTTTAGCTTTTATATTTTTCAGATGCTGTACTGGATTAGGGTACAACTCTGAACTCCGTACAGAGTGTTTGTAAGCTCTCATCACAGTTTGATCAGATAAAACAATCCTTCCAGGCCTGAGAACCAAAGTCACCATCACAGCATCAGGCCTGAAAAGTATGAACAAAAATTAATGGGAGAGGGGGAGAGCAAACTGGGGGACTTCATTACCCGAAGCTGTAATTGGACAATTAACCTCTGATGTCCCAAAAAACTCATGACTGTCATCCATCTCAGGTGTAGCCTCTGCACTGCCCAAGGTGTATCTCTTAAAGCCTTTAATAAAAACCCACTTTATTCTCCAACTCTGTCTAGCCTCTGTTCTAGGTATCCAGCCCAAGGCATCACAGCACTGCCACAAACCCTGTGGGATGTATGGAAAACGCTGCACAGATGAATGAATGAACAAATAATGACACACATCCCCCACCGGCAGCATCCCTGAGCAGGGAGAGGCCGATGGCCCCCGGGTTCGGCTCAGTCCTGCATGGAGCCAATCCTTGAGCCAGAGGGGAGGGAAAAGGGAACAGACTCCAGGTGAGGAAGGGATCTCCCAGCTCGCAGCCACTGCAGAGAGCTGCATCAGAGTCCCACGCAGAGATTTCCCCTCGGGGCGAGGAGAAAACAACTCATCCTGCACCGAGACAGAGGCGCTGCCTCCAGCCACTAATTATTGCTGTCTGCCAGGAGGGGAAGCCTGACAGCTCCTGCCACACGCCTGCTCCCATCCCAGCCTGCTCCCAGCCCTCTTCCCGGCGTGGGGAAGGCACAAACAAGCCATTATCAGCTCCTTGCCGAGCGGAGGAAGGGTGCTGACGGCTGAGAGGGAACAGCGAACAGCGATTCCGAGGCTGCCTCCTCGCTGGCAGCAATTCAGACACAAATGTTCTGAGGCCTCGCTGGGTGCCCTCGTTTCTGCCACGGCACAAACCTCAAAGCGAGTGTGGGACCTGTTGCGAGGCTCCTGAGTGGCAGAAATGGTGCACCAGGATAGCTCTGGATCGTTTCAGAGGTGCCACCACTCCTCACAAGATAAAAGAGCCCAAAAAAATCCTCCCTGTGGAAGCCTTTCCCCCCTTCCAGCACAGCTGGATGGATGCTTTGGGATCTGGCTTTGGAGGAGACACAGAGAAGGGAGCGGTTGTGCTGGGCACCAAGATGTGGACGAAGGGCTGAATTTGGGATTCTGGCTCTGGAGGAGACACAGAGAAGGAAGAGGGGCACCAAGATAAGGATGAAGGGCTGGAGTGGTCATTTCTAGACCCAGCAATGCCCACCTGCCCTCCCTCAAGGCAGCTCTGGGGCAGTGGTCACTGGGCCTCTGTTCTTGGCACCAGTCTGGAAGAAAACACAGATTTGTTTAGTTTTGTTGCTACGTCGGGTTTTTTTAATTTAATTTTTTTGTTGTTTCAGCACCATGTGCTCCCACAGCAACACCCATGCCTGACACTTTCCCAAGGGAGAGGAACAAAAAGCCCCCACACACCTCGGGAAAAGGCTATCCCAACCCCACCCTTCTCACAGCATCCAGCCTCCTTCCCAAAGATTATCCAGCCAAATCCTGAAACACGAGGAATCCCTCCCAAAGGAAAGCCTGGCCAGCAGCACCTATCACCTCTCCAGAGAGATCTGCTCCTCAGGCTCATCCCGGGGGAATTTGAGCAGCCTCCTGGAGGGAGCAACGTGACAAACGCCTGGCACATGTTTGCTCTCTTACCTTCTCCCCGGGGAGAGGCGTGGAGCAGCAAATTAAATATAGCAGAGTGTGTGTGAGTGTGTGTCCCGGGGTATTTATGCTCCAGGAGGCAAGGTCACAGCAAGGTGCATGGCAAGGAGGTGCTCAGCTCACAGGGAGCACATTCCCAGGGATCTGTGCCCAAAAAGAAGGGCAAAACCCCAAAACTCTGCCAGGACCAGCATCTCTGGGGTTGTGGTACCAGGGAGATGCTGGGTGTGATTGTGGAGGAGACAGGGACAGAAGGCAGAGGTGCAGGAGCACCACAAACACATGCCTGGACCCTGACGGGCTGCTTTGGGCATCATAGCCACTGCAAGGCACAGGAGCAGCAGGCTGTGCCACACCTCTGCCCCAAAGTGGGGACAGAACGGCTCATTTGGAGCCCAGGGATTTGCAGCCACACCCAGAGTGATGCCGGTTTCCCTTAAGACTTCCAGCTTTTCAGCCCTGATCTGCCCTTGAATCCACTTCACTTTTTAGCCCTGATCTGCCCACAAACCCACTTCACTTTGTGGCTCAGACCTGTCCCCGAATTCCCCGGAAAATCAGCCCGGTTTTGCCCACCCCTCTCCTGCCCAGAGTTCTCCATCTCCCCCTGAGAGAGACCAGCCCAGGCCGAGAGCACAACCCAAAAGAGTTTTTTGTCTGTGCCAGCTGCGTTTGGCAGAGATAGGGCTGGGCTCCTGCCCCTCCCAGGGCAGACAGAGCCACAGCGGGGGTGGCACCACCCGAGCCCCACAGAGGGTTCGGACACGCCCCGGGGGTTCTCAGCGTTTCACACCGAGGCACAATCCAGACAAACCCGCTGGGACTGAGACCCTGCCCGTTTTTCCCTGGTTTTGCCATATCCTGAGAACAAAGGAGCACTTCCCGATGTCCAGAGCCACCCCACAAGGACAGAGGGATCAAAGCTGCCCAATTCCAGAGGAGCAGAGGGAAAAGCAGCTGGATGCCAACAAGGATCAGGGATCAAAAGCAGGAGTTGAGGGAGGGAAAACCTTTTCCACTGCCTAGACTCTTCATCCTCAGCACAATCCAGCTCTGCAGGGCTGCAAAAACACCTCCTCCCTCTCTGTTTGCCAAGCTTTTACTTCCTGGTCACTGGGATTCTCCAGCAGCACCACTCAGGACTCTGGGTTGATGATTTCTCTTTGCCACCAAAGCCAATTTCTTTCCCAATAAAAGCCACATCAATATTCCATGTCATTCAGGGACAGCTTTTGGGATGAACGGGCCAGGCATAATTTTGTTTCAAAACCTGACTGTAGCCTCAAAGTGGCAATTAGCATTAGTAAATTGATGGGAAAATGCGATTTGTTTACTAACAAGATGCAGCTGATGGGGTGTGTGAGCCCACTCTCAGGGATTCTGTACTACAGGACTTTGCTCAGGAAAATAAAGATACTTTGTTCCCCTCAAAGCTTTCCAATCAAGCATCTCCTGGAGTATTAGTTAAACTTCATTATGCACTGGGGAAGGAGGTGAAAGACACATGGGAAAATCACTTTAGCATGGAGACAAACGCACAGCTGTGGCAAAACTTCGCTGCTGCTTAGCACAGAGCAGCAACTGAGTGACGGTTTGAGGGAAAAGCCCTGTTTTCCATGAATTAGAGCATGATTAATCAGTATCCACACTAACAAGCCCCCGTGCAAGGCGAGGGAAGAGTGAATCTTGCAGTCAGTAATTCCTCTGGGGACACCAGGATGCTTTAAGATGGCAAAAAAAAGCATCCCCTGGTGAGAGCAAACCCATCTATTAGTGAAAAAAAGTACTTGGAAAGCTGCTGGGAAGGATTCCTGGCTGCACGACAGGGATCAGGCAGTGCCATCCTCCTGTCCCCAATCCTGTCAGCCTCAGGGTCACTGGGAAACATCTGTGTTCCCAGTTCTCTCACAGGTGAGCAGAGCTGATGCATCCCTTGGTCCAAAAAAGCTGAGGAATGGGAATATTCAACAACCAACACATGGTCACAGCAGTCAGCAGAAATGAGCAGGGAAATGAGCCTTGTTCTCCTTGCTGAACCACCCAGGAAAACCCTCCTTTCCTTTGTCCCCCAGAAAGGAAAAGGGCTCCTGCAATGGGGATTTGTACAGGAAAAGGGCTCCTGCAATGGGGATTTGAACAGGAGCTCCTGGATGAGCAGTTGGCAGCCAGGCCCTCGGTCATTCCAGGGACTGGCACGGCCCTGGCCATATGCTGCTCTCTCCAGAGGTCAATTAGAGCTGGGCTGGGAAGGGTCAGATCCAGGCTGTTCCCACCGTGCCAGGAACAATTTCTGGGATCTGAGTGTTTGATATGTGGCAGATGCTGCTCTGGCAGCATGGAAGGTAAGGCTGCAGAGTGGGGAGTGCCGTGCTCCATTCCCAGCACTGCTGTTTCTCTGGAATACTAACGAGCTCTGCTCCTGCTGGCACTGCTCCTGAGGGCTTGGGAGATGGCTGCTGCTCCAGCCAGGAACTGGAGCCTCTGGAGATGCCTTGGGCAGGATCCATGCAGCCAGCAGATCTCCCCATTCCCACAAGAAGGGGATGTTTGTGCCTTTCCCCTGCCAGCAGCCAGAGCCACTGGAATCTTTTCCAGCTGAGGAACCAGCAGCAGCATCACAGCCCCACAGACACAGATCCCAATCCCCTCCCTGGGATCCCAAAGCCTTCCATCCCTACAGACAGATCCACAGTCCCCTCCCTGGGATCCCAGAGCCTTCCATCAGCAGCACCTTACAACTGTTTCCATGGTTCCCAGAGCATCACACAAAACTGTTCATCGCTCCAGCTGGGAGGAGGCTGCTCCCTTCCAGAACTGTCCCAACTTCCCCATCCAGGGCATTGGAAACACACCTGGAGCACCACACACAGCCCCAGCCCCCAGGAGCTGCAGCTCCTCTCCCAGTGCCATGACAACAGCAGGAGAAGCTTCCCCAGGAACCATCCCCATGCCTGCTGGATTCAGGGTCTGACAGAAAACTCAGAAATTGAGGCTGAACCATGGTGGCTCCACTTTCACACAAGTTCTCCCCTCCCCTCAGTGGTTTCCTGGTCCAAAATTCAAATTGTTTGAGTCATACCACCCCCATTTGGCCCTGCTCACACTGGCCCCACCCCAATCCCAGTCCCAGTCCCAGTCCTGGCTGGGACCACCAAGATCACTCCAAAACACTCCAAACTGGTGTTCCAGAAAGCAGCTCCTGCTCTTGGGGTGCTCCTGATGCTCTCCAGAGCCAGCCCTGCCTGTGCTCAGCAGCCTCCTTAAGGCTGTTCCAGAATGGGAGAAGGGACCCACAGGGATTTCTGCAGCATGTTGCACAAAATGGTTGTTTGATTTCTCCATGAAAAAGTTCACCCCAGCTCCAAGCAATCTGCCAGGATCCTCCTGGCACAGCCCCGGGCTTGTGCTGAGAGCTGTTTTCCCCTCCTCCCACTGCAAGGATCCCAAAGGGCAGAACTCCATGGACACAGCCACAGCCCAGAGCCTCCTAACTCACCCATCCTTGTCCAAAGCAGCCAAATATTAAACAAATTAGAGGATTTCCCACAAAGCTTAAAGATATTCCCGAAATTATTTCCAATCCCCTCAGCTGGAGGCACCCAATTCCAATTCCCACCGAAGCAAGGCACTGGGATCATCTCCCAGCCACAGCTCACCAAACCCTCACCCCAATGTGGCAGAGGTGGGGGGATTACTGGGAAATCCTAAACGCCTTTCCAAAGGTCAGGAGGTCACAGCTGAACTGTTCTCACCCCCTTTCCCAGCCCCTCAGCTCCTTCCTGGCAGCAATTTCTTCCTAATACACATCCGATATAATCTCATTACCAGTTTAACGTCAGCTTGCCTTCCTCCCTCTGCCCAAGTATCTCACAGCCAAGTGCTCATGAAGTTACTCTGTCCTCATCCAGGGCCTCAAATTCCTGCCAGGCTCCTACTGCCCAGACAGCTACAACAAAGTAAAACACAAAAAAAAACCAACAAAAAAAAACAAACCAAAAACACCCAACCCAAACAAACAAACAAACAAACCCCACAAAAAAAAAAAAAAAAGGCCAACTGCCAGCAAACAAACCGTCACTATGAGGCCAGAAATGAAACTCGGAAAAATCCCACAATTTCCATTTCTTCAGGGCTGCTAATAGCACCACTGATCAAAGGCTGATTAAAGTCATTATCCTGCTTCCTGGGCAAGGCTGGGAGCACTTGGAACATCCTTTGCCTCAAAGCCAGCAAGGTGCTGAACCACATTTGGAAGCTTTTGCTCCAGCCAGGCAGGCCAGGAATGTGAGGAGGATTTTTAAAAAAAAAATTCTTGATGCGTTATTTGTTTCGGGAAAAAAATGAGTCCGAATCCCTTTCACTCTCTAGGAAACATCCACTAATCCACTGGACAAATAGGTGTGTCTGAGCCCTAGAAGGGGATTAATTGAGGAAGGGATGAGGCTTCTGGCTTCTTTGGCTACCAAGAACAGCACCCAGCAGTCACATCCAAGGATCAATCCTCATGCCTGCCATCATAAACTGGGGAGAAATTTCCAGAGAAAACACAGGGATGGTCTTAGGAATTCCCAGATGAATTCCCAATGGATCAGAGCTGAGCTGTCACAGACATTCCCAAGAGACCCTCTCACAACCTGGTCCGCGAGGAACTGAGGCCAAGAGGACACGCATGGCCCAAGTCCTGCAATCAAAGGGGACAAACCCCTCATTTTTGGGGGATGGAGATGGGAGACACATTGTCCAAGTGAGGCACAGCACTGTCCCCTGTGGGCTGTGACACAGGGGAATCCCTCACTGGGACAGTCCTGGTGGACACCCGGGGGCTGGCACAGGGGACAGGGCTGTGGGTGCCAAATTCGTGTCCCCCTCCATTGCCAGAGGGGGGATTGTGCCACAACAACATCGCCCAAAAAGGCATCAGTCCCCCTGGCCAGTCCCGGGAAAACGGATGTGGAAAAGGTGCCAGGGGTGGGGACACAGGGACGTGCCTGGGAGAGACACCCCGACCCGCGGGTCCCTAAAGCCCCGGGGGACACAGAACCAGCAGAAAGGGACCGAGAGCCCAGGGAGGGGGTGCATCAGGGCTGGGATGGACAGGGAGGGAAGGCTGGGATTCAGGAAAAAAGCAGGGGGGAAAGGCCCAGCCTGAGGGGGAGGTGGGAAGGGTCGGATCTGAGGGGCCGGGCATTGCTGAGGGGGTTGAGGGGACGAGGGCGCGCTCGCGGGCGCTGTGAGGGGCCCGCTCCCGGCTCTGAGGGTGGGGGGGCCGCGCCGCCCGCTCTTACCGTGTGGTTCGCCCCCCACATAAGGACGCTGAGCAGCGGCTCCGAGGCCCGGAACAGCTTCACCTTCTGGCACACGAAGTGTTTCTTCTTGGTCTTGGTCTTGCTGGCGCTCAGGGCCGAGCCCACGGCAGCCACGGCTCCCGCCGCCGTCCCCGCAGCCCCCGCGCAATTGGCGGCCATGGCGGACCCGACCGACCCCCTCCCCGCGCCCCCCTACCAGCGCCTCCGCATGGTTCCGCCCGGCCCGGCTCGCCCCCCCCTCCCGCAGTGGTACCGCCCGGCCCCGGCAGCCGCGGCCCGTTAAGCTTCCCCTCGTCGGCCCTGCCCCCCCCCCCGCTGCCGCCGTGGT